TCACGCGTACAAACATTTCATACAACCCATCATTCCACCATTCCAACTACGAATCGCATTAAACTATAGTGTCCTTAAGTTAAGATTAATCATCTCGGAATCATATCAAGTTGACAGCAATGCCCGAAAATGGCTTTCTGCTTTATCTATCCCTCTCGTGTTTCTTTCTTTTTCTGTAGCCATAATCGAAAATATTTGCGAAATATTTCTTCTGACTTTCATGGAATGATATCTGCGCATTAATGTACTATAAAAAACTAAAAAGTTCGATCGATATAGATATGCAGATGTAACGTGTTACACAATTGTATTACTATTCAATTTCGTCTGCATAATCATATTTACCGATTTTATTACCAATCTATAATTGGACATACGATATTCTCTATCTATATTCGTACATACGATATTCTCGTAGTACCGTATATTTATTTAATTATTTAATTATAATATAATCTTTCATAAATATATAAAATACAATCCTACATACATATAACATATATGCATATAATACATGCATGTCATATATATATATAGTTACAGATATAATATATAAATTTTAGAATCTTCTAAAATGAGTTTTCTTTAATGAAAAATGTATGTTGAATATAATCGCTAAATCTGAGATCTGTGGCTTAGTATTATTTCTTCAGTAATATTACATTTTCATGAGTGTATAGTTTGATATCAATATATAATAACTTCGTCAAGAACTTTATCAAGAAACTTTGTGTCTAGATCTCATTTGACCGAAATCTCAACCACCGTATAATTCAAGAAATTTCGTATCCTGGAAATATCGCAACACGATTATGGGTTACATTAAATGTCCAAAAATTTTTCATTGTTCTTAAATTATTAACAAAATTTTTAAAACACACACACACACACACACACACACACATATATATATATGAAAATTTTACACGCATATTTGCATTATAAATACGAAACATCCCGTAAAATTATTTTCAAAAAAATAATGAATAATAACATAATCGCTTTTGATAAATAAAAAGAAAAAAAAAAAAAAAGATTATAAAGTAGTTGCATATATTGAGAGTGCATTATGAATTTAAAACTCTATATTTTTTAATCGCGAGATTTGTCTCATTGCGTGCGCGCCACTTGGAAAATGTCGAATTCACATATGATATATAAATATACGAGACCGGACTCGCGAGAACTTCTCCGAAATAGAATTTTCTAGCATGACGGGTTGGAGAGACGCGAATATTTCTGCACGTACACAGAGTTCAAATTATCCTAAAATTGCACCAGTACCATCGTCCTCGTCCGTATATTTTGCATCGCGCTTCCTCCCACACGTCACGTTGATTACACTTTATGTGCATCTCTCGCGATCATAATGCACGTTGCATTACGCAGGCATTTAATGTATCTCCAAATTGTCCGTGGAGCCAAAGATCGCGCAGTAATTATAATTGCAATTGCATTTTAAAAAAAAAACCTCTCTTGCGGACTCCGCTTTATTAGACCTATTAGAGGTTGTACGTTATTAGATACATTTTATTGTAGCATATGAAACTAACGCAATGCACCGTGTCTCGCGAATAATACCGTGACGAAAAATTGTAATAATTCTTTATCATAGACTTTGACAACAGAGTTATAACATAAGCTGAGATAATTTAAAGCCGACAAATGAAATAATAAGTTGATAAAGCAATCCAAAAATATAATATATAAATTAAAAATTGATGCAAATATTTATATACCTCATATATGCATGTCATGTCTATTTTTATTATCTTATAATATATGTATATAAAATCATTCTAATAACAGGGTGGTGACATGTTTCAACGTTATTATACTTACCGAAAAGTAACTAAAAAAGATTCGCATGTTATTATTTAGTTATATCGTCGCTATTGTATCAATTTTTTACGACATAAGTTAGTGCCGAAGCATGTTAGCTTGTCCGTAGAATAATATTAATGACCCTTCATAAAGACCCCGATAATGAATCATAGTGACGAAGGTGGTTCGTCGACGTTATACAAGGAGCAAGGTAGCTAAGATTTTGAGCATAATCTGCGATATTTTTTGTACATCATCCACAATCGACGTAAATTTTTCGCTTACGTTGATTCTTTGTTTTACATCAAACTACGACCACTTTATCAAGAATAATGAAGTGAAAATTGCATTTGTTGACGAAATGTGAACGTCGCGTAGCGTCCAGCAGATGTATGCTTCTGACATAAAAATGGCGTCTTCTAAGTACATTTCGTCTTTCCCGAGACTGTCACGAGGAACGATATTAAAGCTCCTATTAGTGTCCTCGTAATTTCTCACAAATATTTCCGAATCAACGATTTTCAGCTCCTATTGCTGGACGGGTACGTGCTTATTCCTCCTTTGAATCCATCTGTCGTCCGCAGTTTCCCCCATTTTTAATTGAATTTTTTTCCCACGAGGGAAGTAATTTATCCTTTTTATCTCGGAGCAGAATCGCAGATTCCAATTGAAAGAAAGTTAAACTAGTGTCTTCCCCAGATGACCGGCTGGTCACCAGGGGTGCTCTGAAACACGATAAGGTTAATACCTCAAAATCATTATCGGGGTCGGCTGTTTAATGGTGTGCAAAAAAACGGGCCCTGATATCTGTATGAAATGCGCTTAAACCTCTTTCAATCATAGAATAATTTTCGACATAATATCATTTTTTGCTATATAATTAAATATTTAAAAGTAATATTAAAATTAACATTTTAATTAAGAAGATTATACAACCAATAATTTAGTCAAGTTCAATTTGATATTCTCTCGATTAGCTGCTTCCAAAAATAAATTATATTTCATTAAATTAATTAAAATTAAATTAAATTCGTGTCCATAATTTTGCATTAAATATATATCAGGAGACGCGGTAGCGTCTCGCTAAGTTATATCTTTTATTCGTCAAATTAAAATACAATCTACAAAAAAACAAAAAAAAATATTGAAAGATATCGAAAAGATAGCGAAAATATCGAAACAATAGCGAAAATTATCCGTAGGACGCTACTGTGTATCCTTTACCGGACGTAACACGATTTTCGTAAGCTTGAAAACAAAAATTTGAAATATTTCATGAACGGAAACATATTTTTCAAAAGATGACCATATCAATCGAAAGCGCGATTTTTTCCGAGTAAAATGAGACCTTAAGGAACTGGATAGCTCTATTGGTTGCGGAGATATGAATTTTTCAAGTTATTTTTTGGTCGAAAAGGTGTCACTTTTTTTTAAGATACGGCGTCGTACTTGTCCCGATCACCCATCCCGACAAAGTGATTCTGTCCGAAGCTGCTTTACCTTATCCGCGGTCACCCATCCTAGTATAGTGACATTTTCCTCAGCTGCTTAACCTTTTAAGCAACCAAACAAAAAATAAATTCTTGCTCTCTCTCACTCTCTCTCTCTCTCTCTCCTCCTCTCTCTCCCCTCACTCTCCCCCTCTTTCACCCTTTCTCTCTTGCTTTCCACGTCTTTTTTCGCTCTCTCTCTCGCCCTCTCTCGCTTTCTCTCGCTGTCTCTCGCTCTCTCTTGCTCTCTACCGCTCTCTCGCGTTCTCTCGCTCTCTGCCGCTCTCTCTCGCGTTCTCTCGCTCTCTCCCACTCTCTCTCGCGTTCTCTCGCTCTCTCTCGTCGTCTCTCGCTCTCTCTCGGTTTTTTTCGCTCTTTCTCGCTTTCTCTCGCTGTTTCTCGCCTCCTCTCGTTCTCTTCGCTCTCTCGCTTTCTTCCGGTCTCTCTCGCTCTCTCCCGCTCTCTCTCGCGTTCTCTCGGCCTCTCTCGCTCTCTCTCGCTCCCTCTCGTCTTCTCTCACTCTCTCTCGGTTTTTTCGCTCTCTCTCGCTTTCTCACGCTGTTTCTCGCCTTCTCTCGTTCTCTCCCGCTCTCTCGCTTTCTTTCGCTCTCTCTCGCTCTCTCCCGCTTTCTCTCGCGTTCTCTCGCTCTCTCCCGCTCTCTCATGTTTGAATGTACTATCATGTATTTGAATATACGTTTAAATATATTTGAATTAAATAATTATTTAGAGATAAATAATTTATTTTTTATATATATATATTTATCTAAATATTTTATAAAAATATATAATAACTTTACAATGTATATACATTCCAGTTTGAATTAATTACATAATTATTTATGTTATTTAAATATAAAGATGAATAAATATATATATATATATATATATATATATATATATATATTTTACTGAATTTATTTTGTTATTGTATATATTATAAACGTTTTAAAATAAAGCAATAATTATACATTTGTTTCATTATAGGAAATTTATCTAAATATTATATATTATGTTGTCACTTACTTAGTGCAACTTTTTGATTTGACTACTTTTGATGCTAATATTTTAACCTTTTTTCTCGTATTATCAATATAATTATTTAGCGCAATTTTTTGATTTCACTACTTTTTGATGCTAAAATTTTAATTTTTTTCTAGTATTATTAACAAAAAAAATATAATTTATAAATATAATTTTAAGAAATATTTTTGATAATGATTAATTTTTGCAAAGAATTATTTTGGCTATAAACATAATTTTTGAGAAGATTATATTTTTTATTATTATAAAGAACTATTTTTGCTGACGAAAGATATAACTTAGCGCTTTTTTTTACATCTGCAATGTCTTTTTTTGTGGGATAAATTATTAGAGTATAAAATATATAGTTAATATCCCAGATAGCAAAATGTTAGCCAATAATCATGACTTTACAGCAGATTCCTATCCTAAGATTAATTGCTGTATCTGCAATTGATGACATTATGCTAGCATAAATTATAAGTAAAATCTGACAGCAGATTAGCGGCAAAAACCAAGAAAATTTGCACAATATAGTTAATGGCAAATTGGCGGTAGAAACCTAGTCTGTCAAACACAATCTGATAGCAGATTGGCGGCAGAAATTGAGCAGGAATAATTAATCTACAATTTCTTGTCATTTAAAAATATGATAGAATTGAATATTTTTCAATGAATATGTGCATAAAATGCAGTATCCATTAATTATAATTTATTTTATAAATATGAAATTTAATATAATATAATTAAACAAAATAATATGACATATATTATATTGTAGCTATATCTCAAATAGCAATTGTATACTTTGTAATGTAAATTTGCAAATATTAATTTTTGATTAGTCCATAAAAGAAATACAAGTAAATATTTTCAAGCATTTTATAACGAGAGACTACGTGAAAAAGAAACAAATTTGCGCATTTTTGTCGTATTAATCATGAAGATCATTCATACAATTATGAAACTTTTTGTGCAGAAATTATCAGTGCAGTATATCCATTTGGTGCGGGGGTTGAGGCCGTGCACGTACTCCGCTGACCAACGCTGCCAAAAATGGTCTCGCATCAATTGGAGATGACGCCAGCGTGACAGTGTGGATGCTGGTTGACCAGTCGACGATGGCTCAGGTACGGCTAATAGTGGCGCCCCGATGAGGAAGTGGCCTGGTGTGAGCGCCGAAGTGTCGTCCGGATCGTCTGATAAAGCCTGCAACGGACGAGAATTAAGACACGCCTTGATTTGCGTGAGGAGTGTGCTAAGCTCCTCATATGTGAGGGTGGTTTCGCCGATTACTCGACGGAGGTGGAACTTTGTGGATTTTACGGCAGCCTCCCACAGACCACCGAAGTGAGGGGCCGCTGGCGGATTAAAGTGCCAGCGGATCCCTTGATTGTTGGCGGCGCGAGCGATGTGATGGCCCTCGGAAGATGACGCCTTGAAGAGCTCGCGCAGGGTGCGATCGGCGCCGACGAACGTCGTGCCGCAGTCGCTGTACACGTCCGTACACAGGCCTCTGCGGGAAACGAAGCGGCGTAAGGCGGCGATGAAGGCCTCGGAACTGTAGTCCGAGACGACCTCGAGGTGGATAGCCTTCGACCAAAAGCATACGAAGACAGCTTATGTATCCTCTCTGTGAGCGGTGTCCGCGCCCCTTGCTGGTCCGGATGAAGATGGGTCCCGCGTAGTCCAGGCCAGTGCTCAGGAATGGCCGAGTCGGCGTCACTCGGTCACGCGGAAGGTTGCCCATTGGAGGCTGTGGAGTGGCACCCAGAATCGAAGATAAAGCAAGCCGAGAGTCATCTGGACGCCGCCGTGTAGAGACCGACGATGGCAGGACTCGATGAGCAGTCGCGTCATCCAGGAGGCCGGCGGAACGATCACCGGGTGCTTTTCGTCGTAAGGCAGCAGAGCGTGTTTGAGGCGCCCTCCTACGCGCAGTACACCTTGGTCGTCGAGGAATGGACTGAGTTTGATCAGTGAACTGCGTGGTGGACCGGGACGTCCCGCAGTGGCAGCGGCTATCTCGTCCGGGAAGTGGAGTGCCTGCACAATTCGAAGCCACTGAAGTAGGGCGGCGTCCAGCTCGTCAGGATGCAGCGGACGACCAAGTGTGACCTCTCGGCTCGCCACGTTGAGCCATCGACGACACCAGGCCGTAACGCGCAGCAGCCGATGGAGTGTGGAGAACCGAAGAGAAGATCCGGTTCAACGATGACGGCACCTTTGGTCATCAGGCTGGTGGTGCGTTGTTCCGGAAGGTCGTCCTCTGCGATGTCGACCCCTGAGCTGGGCCACGCTGTCTCGTCCAATGCCAACCAGGTAGGTCCCGTCCACCATAGCGTGTGATTGACTAACTCTTCCGGATTAATTCCTCGTGATGCGCAATCTGCAGGATTGTCCTTCCACGTGTCTCCACTGAGCGTCCGGGAGCTGAGTCTGGATGTGAGCCACCCGGTTGGCGACGAACGTTTTCCAGCGAGCGGCGTGTCCCTGGATCCAATGGAGAGTGACCTTGGAATCGGACCACAGGTGCACTGGAGTTGATGTCAAGCCGAGGGTGTTTCGGATATGCAACGTCAACGTGGTGAGTAGCACAGCAGCGCACAGTTCAAGGCGAGGCAACGAAACTGGCTTGACGGGCGCGACTTTGGATTTCGCCATGATTAAATTGATTGTGATTTGTTTCTTTCCAGAGTTGCGGATGTAAACGGCGGCAGCATATCTTCGCTCTGATGTATCTGCGAAGCCGTGGATCTGCAACGTGGAGTAATCGCTGTCGGTGCTGAGCCAGCGATTCACCCGTATGTTGCTGAGCAGAGGTAGCTGGTTCAGCAGCTGTTGCCAACGTTTGACGTCCTTGGCAGGTAGTAGAGTGTCCCAGTCGAGTTGCTGAAGCCAGGTGGTCTGGATCAGGATCTTCGCCCGAATCACGACAGGTGCGAGCCAGCCCATCGGGTCAAACAGCCGTGCAGTCTCTGCGAGGACTCGTCGCTTCGTAAACTCGCTGACTACACGAGGATGTATGGCGAAGGCAAACCGGTCTTCTTGAGGATGCCATCGCAGACCCAAGGTCGAATGGCTCTCGTCGTCCCAGGAATGTGGTCCTTGCTGCAGCTGGTGCTCCTGTGGGACTCCGCTGAGGACGTCCGGATTGTTTGAAGCCCACTTCCTCAGCGGAAATCCGCCCGCCATGCAGAGATTGCGCAGCTCTGTCTGGAGGTTGACGGCATCGCCGAGGTCGTCCGCTCCGGTGACTACGTCGTCGACGTAGCAATCTCGCCGAAGTGCTGTGGCCCCTTGAGGAAACTGCGCCCCTTCGTCCGCACAGAGTTGCCGCAGCGTTCGGATGGCCAGGAACGGTGCACACGCCATGCCGTAGGTCACCGTCAGCAGCTCGTACTCCTAGATCTCGCTCGTTTTGTGTTGACGCCACAGTATCGTTTGAAGGCTGCAGTCCTCAGGATGTACGAGAATTTGGCGATACATCTTCTCGATGTCTGTGACGAAGACATACCGGTGCCAACGCCATCGCAGCAGCACGTCGGTGAGAGCGGGCAGCAAATTCGCCCCAGTCAGCAGATGCGAATTCAGCGAGTTCCCAGTTCGTGTCCGTTGAGAGCCGTTGAACACGACTCGGAGCTTCGTCGTCGTGCTCGCCTCCTTCAGGACCCCGTGATGCGGTAAGTAGCATCTGATCTTCTCAGCTGTTGTTGCGATATTTACCCTCTTCATATGTTGCAGGTCCTCGTATTCCTGCATGAAGCTGCGATAGAGGTCGCCAAATCGAGGGTCTCGGCTGCCCTTGGACTCCATGGCTTTCAGGAGGTGCTCCGCAGGGCGGCGAGTGTCTTGAAGAGTCGTCGGCGGTGATGCAAGAGGCAGTCTCACCATGTATCTTCCGGTGGGCGTGCGTGTGACGGTGCGCACGTAAAGCTCCTCGCACTTGGTTTCGTCAGGAGTGAGTGGAGCCTGAGATATTGGCTCGCTCTCCTGCTCCCAAAAGCGGCGAACGAGGTCGGCGAGGTCATGATCGGCGGTGCATCGGAATGTGCGGCGATGTCCGTTGACTGATGTGGCGTCGTATCCGCCAGAGAGGATCCACCCCAGGCTTGTTTGCTGGGCGATCGGCATCCTTGAATCTCCTTTGCGGAGGCCCTCCTCGAGGATCAAGGAATAGACCTCGGCTCCTAAGAGTAACTCAGCTGGGTCGTCGTCCAAAAAACGAGGATCGGCCAGTTGGAGTCCCTTGAGATGAGGCCAGCTGCGTTCTCCTCGTGAGACTGATCCTTGCTGCAGTGATATGCGAGACAGCACAAAGGCTACCACGCTGAGCTCGGCGTTGGTCACGTCTGACGTTACGTGCAGCGTTACTTTGCCTCGAGCGGATCCTGAGCGGGTCCCTCCGATGCCGAAGATCGAAAGATCCGTCGAAACTCGAGGAAGGCGAAGGCGTTGTGCCAAGGTCTCTGAAATGATCGACACCTCAGAGCATTGGTCGATCAGAGCGCGTACGGCGTGTGGGGACCCGTACCGATCGGCGATGTTCACTCGAGCTGTTGCCAGAAGAACGGCCTTGTGATCCTGATGTTGCAGAGTCGTGGTCAGTGTGGTGGCGCGTGTGGTGGCCTCAGCTGACAGTGAAGACGTCGGTGCTCCGTGCAACATCGTGTGGTGTCGTGCGTCGCATGTGAGGCAGTTCTTCTTCGACTGGCAGCGAGATAGAAAGTGGTTGCCTAAGCAATTGTAGCAGCGCTTGCTTGTCTCTATGAACGCCTTACGCTCGTTGACTGTCTTGGCCTTGAAGTCTCGGCAGGCCATCAAGGTGTGGTTCTCGCGACACAGTGCACAGTGCGGCGGTTCAGATCCTTGGTGTTTCGTGACGTGTGCCTTGGCGATCCGTGGAGCATCTCCGGACGGTTTGCTGACGCCCTTGGTCGTGCGGCATTGAGCGTCAGGATCCGCCGACTGATAAAGTCAACGAGTGCCTCGTTCTGTGCTGGCTCTGATGAGTCTGAAATGGACGACTCCCACTCCAGACGTGTGCGTGCATCAAAAAGCTCCGTCACCAGGAAGTTGAAGAGGTCCATCCCGTGGGAGTTTATTGGACGCCCGATGCTCTCCTGACCGTTGACGGTGGCAGTAACGGCGTTGTGGATGCGTCTCAACTCCTCTGCGGTATCTCCCTTCATCTTTGGCACGGCGATGAACGTGGCAAAGTTGGAGCGGATCAATTCTTTTTTATTGTTGTAGTGCTTGTCCAGTATCGCCCAAGCACGCTCATAATTGTCGCTAGTGACGGGTAACGACTTTATTAACTTTTCAGCCGGTCCCGTCAGACATGAGCGGAGGTGATGGAAGCGCTCGATGTTGGAGATCGCGTTGCCACTCACGACGGAGAGAAAGAGATCCCGAAACGACGGCCAATCAGCGTAAGCACCAGAGAATGGCGGTACCTTGATGCGCGGCAGTGACGACCGTGGCGTGACGTCGGCAGAAGGAGCTACGTTCGGTGCACGAAAGTGTTGGCGTAGCCATCAAGTATGCTTCGCTGACTTATGTACAGATTTTCTGTATCTGCGTGGAAATCTGATTTGAAATACTCGCTCTCACTGAATTTGTCTTTCAGGGCCGCTCGGATAAGGTCGTGCTGCGTCTCGAACTTGCCCACAGCTGATCCAGGATTCTGGTGCGTGTGGCGATAGCACTGGTGGTGATGTTGGCGCTGCCCAGCTTCTTCAGGTACTCTACGGAGCGTGAGATTCGGATTTGAATCTCACGCTGACAATCGACCAGCGTGGACACATCCATGACGGCTGCACACCCAGACGTTCACACCTTCACTCACACGAGAAGTCACGCTCGCGAACTTGCGGTTGCCGGTGCGACGGATCCGGCTCGAAGGACCAGAAATATGTTCACGAACGCGCTGCGAGAGAAAGGATCGCGCTGCACGAAAGGATGAGTCACCCTTTGTATTAAACTGACTTTAATATTATAAAACAATTAAAAAACGAACACTTTAACAAACTTTTACAATCTTAATTAATTTACAGAGAAAATCGAACTCAAATCAAAGTGCGGAATAAGCGGCGGTCGTCAACGAATTTCTGCGGTTTTACAAATCTGCGGTTGCGTTATGCGGTTCACGGCGGAAAAAGCGATAAGGCGCGGATTTCGGGTGCGAGCTCTCATTTATGGGTTTCCGCAAAAAACCCACCTTTTCGGGAAGCGCCAATTATTGCGAGCAATTTTAAGTGTGCTCGAGGTGACTCGAGAGCACAGCTCATTATTGGCCGCTGTCAAAATTAACGGAAGACGGCTGGCAGAAAGCATGCGCGCGCGGGTGATCGCGATAATTATGGTGAAAAGAGGCGCCCGTGGTAAGCCGCGCATGCTCACTGAAACTAATTATTCGGCGGAACGGTTGTGATACCGTTAATTGTTGATATTGGAGGAATGTTTTTTTTTGAGACAGATTGATTTATGTCGTGTTTCTCCGCGAAAAACATACAAAAAACTATTTGCTGTAAATATCGATTATTCTAGAATCTTCTAAAATATTATTCGAACAGAATATTTTATTTTTATCCACGGCTAATATTTTCTGATGCGTTTTGAACATATATTATAAACGTTTTAAAATAAAGCAATAATTATACATTTGTATCATTATAAGAAATTTATCTAAATATTATATATTATGTTGTCACTTACTTAGTGCAACTTTTTGATTTGACTACTTTTGATGCTAATATTTTAACCTTTTTTCTCGTATTATCAATATAATTATTTAGCGCAATTTTTTGAGTTCACTACTTTTTGATGCTAATATTTTAATTTTTTTCTAGTATTATTAACAAAAATAAAATATAATTTATAAATATAATTTGAGAAAATATTTTTGATAATGATTAATTTTTGCAAAGAATTATTTGGCTATAAACATAATTTTGAGAAGATTATATTTTTTATTATTATAAAGAACTATTTTTGCTGACGAAAGATATAACCTAGCGCTTTTGTTTTACATCTGTAATGTTTTTTTTGTGGGATAATATCTTACTATTATATTATCCAATATAAATATCTTAATATTAAGATAATATAAAAAATATTAAGATAATATAAAAATTTTAAGATAATATAAAATATCTTAATATTATATAAGATAATATCTTTTCTAATATAATTTTATGTATAAAATAAGCTACAATGTAATTGTAAAA